CGCGCACACACACACACACACACACACACCTACCTGTCCATGGTCCTGAATTAATATTGCAGCCACAGGCATTTCTCTATAGTGCTGGGGAACAGGGCTTGTTTCAAATTCTGCTCCTGTCCCTCTGCCGGCTGTATTTACAGCTGCGGAGTCCTTTGGTTCTTCTTTTGCTTTTCTTTGTTTCCTTACCTCCTTTCCTCCCTCCTTCCTTCCTTCTTTCCTCCCTTCCTGCCAGTACTGGAGCTCAGGGCCTCTTTTAGCTGTTTTGCTCAAGAGTGGCGCTCTAGTACTTGAGCCATACCTCCACTTGTGGATTTTTGCTGGTTAACTGGAGATGAGTCCCCTGGACTTTGCCCAGGCTGGTTTTGACTCTGGACCTCAGATCTAAGCCTCCTGAGTAGCTAGAAAGACTACAGTTGTGAGCCATGAGTGCTGGGCTTAACTTTACTTCTTTCATGAATCTATTTACTTTGAACATTCTACTGGCTAAGTTCAAAGGTTATGAGTCACTTTGCTCTCATTATTCTTTTTCCTTCCTTCCTTCCTTCCTCCCTCTTTTCTTTCTTTTTTGCCAGTCCTTGAGCTTGAACTCTAGGCCTGGACTCTGTCACTGAACTCTTTCACTCAAAGCTAGCACTCTACCACCTGAGCCATAGCTCTACTTCTGGAGGTAAGAGTCTCACAGACTTTCCTGCCCCAGCTAGCTTCGAACCTTGGTCCTCAGATCTCAGCTTTCTGAGTAGCTAAGATTACAGACATGAGCCACCAGAGCCTAGCTTTCCTCTCATTCTTGTCCTTTAAATTCTTTCTTCCTTAAACATTTACTGAGAACCTTCTAGGGCCTGATCTTCATTAGATGTGAGGGATACCATGATGGAGATTGCCTTCATGGAACATACAGTCTAGAGAAGGATAGAGACACAGATGAAAGAAATAATGCCACAAGCTGGTAAGAGAGAAGAGAATGATGTGAGACATAGGGGGATGCGGATTAACTGCTTTTCCATGACCTGTGAAACATGCTCTATTTTTGCTTTTTATTTTTGGTGGGGCTGTGGATGAAACTTCAGGCCTCTTGTATGCTATGGCAGAGCAACACCACTGAGTCACATTCCCAGCCCAGTATGATTTTCTTTTTTTCTTGGTCATGGGGCTTGAACTCTGGGCCTGGGCACTGTCCCTCAGCTCTTCAGCTCAAGGTGAGCACTCTACCACTTGAGTCACAGCACCACTTCTGGTTTTCTGGTAGTTAATTGGAGATAAGTCTCACAGACTTTCCTGGGCGATCCTCAGTTCTCAGCCTGCTAGTAGCTAGGATTACAGGTTTGAACCACTGGTGTCCGGCTTGACTTTCTTTTTAATCCTGATCCAGATGGCTCTGTCAGCAAGATGGGGACTGTACCTTGAGCTTCAGAGTCTCAAGATGGGCTAAATCTTGAGCCCACTCATGCCTTCCCTTGGCTCAGACCCATGTTCTTTTTTCCTGTTGCTGGATGGCACTGGCCCTTTGTCGCTAAGATTCCTGACACCCAGGAGTATAAACACAACCTCCTGCCTAGACGCACCTTTAGACCCATGGAGGTGTGAGTCTACCTGTGCCAATGTTCCTCCAAGCCCTAGAAACAGGGGCTCACCTCCTCTGTCCACAGTCCATCACTGGGTCTCAGGTCAGACCACAGCTTCTCTCTGCTGCCTGGGCATTGTGGGCAGCCCCGTGACTCCTTGTCTTGTTACCCTTTGCCTCTTTGCTAGATCGCCCTTCTTCCCTCTTGAAGATAGCCCCTTCCCCCTCCATGCATGGCGAAGCTTCTAACAGCTGTGTCCACCTGCTGCCAGATTTGTTCATTCCTGCTCACCACTGCACCTGGCTCTCTCCCCAGGATTGCCTGGAGATCTCTCCCCCAGTGCTCCTCTCATTGCTAGCTTCCTCCCCCAGGCCTGAGGAGCCACGCAGGCCCCACCCTCCTTGACACTTTCCATTTAGGATACCCTGGCGCCCATTCTCTCTTGTCCTCTGGCCATTCCTCCATACCCTGGACAAGCTTCTTTTTTCTAACACCCCATTTGCCTGCCCATCAGTGGTTCTGTAGACCTACTCTGGAAGGATGGGGATGCAGTTGGCATGTGCTGGTTTGGGGAGGCAGGAATGCTGGAAAGTACACAGGTATATGGGGCTACTGTTCACAATTCCAATTAGCTGGGCTCCGGGATTGTAGAAAAGAGTAGAAAAAGATTACAAACAGGAAGTGTAAAGGTCATCTGAGAGCCATAGAAGACAATGAGCAGGCAAGTCTGCCTCAGATGCTCACAACATCTCCCTGATTATTATGTGTACCAGTCCTGGAGCTGGAACTTAGGGTTTCAGTGCTGTCTCTGAGCTTTTTTGCTCAAGGCTGTTATTCTAGCACTAAAGGGCTGGGAATGTGGCTTAGTGGTAGAGTGCTTGCCTAGCATGCATGAAGCCCTGGGTTCCATTCCTTAGTAGCACATACACAGAAAAAAGTCAGAAGTGGCTCTGTGGCTCAAGTGGTAGAGTGTTATCCTTGAGTAAAACAAGCTCAGGGACAGTGCCTGGGCCCTGAGTTCAAGCCTCAGGACTGGCAGGAAAAGATAAAAAAAAGAGTTTCATAGATTTCCTTGTCCAATTGGATTTGACCTGAGATCCTTAGATCTCAGCCTCCTAAGAAGCTAGGATTATAGGCCTGTACCAGCACCCAGCTCTTTTTGTGGGGGGGGCGGGGAAGGGGAGGATAGAGTCTTGCTATATAACCTAGGCTGGTCTTGAACTACTGATCACCTTGTCTTCTGCCTCAGCATCCTAAATCCTGGGAATTCAGGACTGAGCTTTCATAGCTGGCTCTCACTGAATGCTTGCAATACCTCCTGACTTACTCTCCCCTTGGATCCCTACACAATGGTCCAAGGGGTCTTTCAGAAGCCAGTATCCGGGCTGGGCAGGTGGCTCAGTGGTAGAGTGCATGCCCTGCATGCATGAGGCCCTGGGTTCGATTCCTCAGCACCACATAAGCAAGAAGAAAAAAGCCGGAAGTGGCGCTGTGGCTCAAGTGGTAGAGCGCTAGCCTTGAGCTGAAGAGCTGAGGGACAGTGCCCAGGCCCAGAGTTCAGGCCCCACGACCGGACCAAAAAAAAAAAAAACAGAAGCCAGTATCCAATCATTTTATCCCCTTGCCCCTCAGTTAATTAGCAAGGTGGATGGCAGAGGAATTGTGACTTTGAGAGTAGACTCCAGGGGTGTGGCTCAGTGGGGGGGGGAGCACACAGGTGAGATGCAGATGGCATCAGATGTGGCATTGACCTACTACTTGCTTAGCATGAAAATGCAGTTGGGGCGGATTGGTTAGGATTTTGAGCAGTGAAGGGGATGGGCCCCTGATGGTGGAGGCCCCTGCATCAAGAGAGCAGAGAGAGCAAGGTCATGGCCCCAAACCTCAACTTTATTTATCTGGGAGACAATATTCGGAGGCCAAATGAGATCAGTAAGTTTAGCCCTTAGCAAGCTTCCTGGCACAAAGCAAGGGTTCATTCAGTGAGTCATCATGATCATGATAATCATCGTCGTCATCATCATCATCATCATCATGTACTTAACTACAATCTATAAGAATCAGAAGTAGCTGGTCACTTGTGGTTCATGCCTGTAATCCTAGCTACTCAGGAGACTAGGATCTGAGGATCACAGTTCAAAGCCAGCCTGGGCAGGAAAGTCTGTGAGACTCTTCTTTTTGGGGGGGGTCCGGTTGTGGGGCTTGAACTCTGGGCCTGGGCACTGTCCCTCAGCTCTTCAGCTCAAGGCTAGTGCTCTACCACTTGAGCCACAGGGCCACTTCCAGCTTTTTTCTTTTTGCTTATGTGGTGCTGAGGAATCGAACCCAGGACCTCATGCATGCAAGGTAAGCACTCTACCACTGAGCCACCTTCCCAGCCCTAAGTCTGTGAGACTCTTATCTCCAATTAACCACCAGAAAACCAGAAGTAACACTGTGGCTCAAGTGGGAGAGAGCTCTGGGCTGAAGAGCTCAGAGACAGAGCCTAGGCCCAGAATTCAAGCCCACAACTGACAAAAAAAAAAAAAAAAATCAGAAGTAACTGATGGCTGGTCTGAGGGCTTGAAGTAGGCCCACTTTAGGAGACTCTTGTTTGTGCCTGTCCATAGAGGGCTAAGGCAAGTCCACAAAACATAAAAGGAACAGAAAGTTTCCAGATGAGGACTCTAGGCTCAGCCCTGGTCCTGCAGATGACTGCAGATCATCACAGGCATGGTCCTAAGGCTGGATACTCACACACTTCCCACCAAGATATCCAAGGCCTGCTCAGGGCCCCTCCCCCTTATCCACCCAATTTCACCAGATTCCCTAAGTTCAAGGTAAAAAACAGAGCTGAACAAGGACAGACCAGTTTCCCCTATGCCAGCCCTGGCTTTCTTGTGTGATGGGGGGAGCTTGGTTGAAAGTCTGTGAGATGCTTATCTCCAATAAACCATCAGAAAACCAGAAGTGGTACTGTGGCTCAAGTGGTAGAATGCTCACTTTGAACTGAAGAGCTGAGGGACAGTGCCTAGGCCCAGAGTTCAAGCCCCATGACTGACCAAAAAAAAAAAAATCCCCCAAAACAAAAAACCACACACATTGACTTTGAGCTGGACCCCGGGGGGTTGGGGGAGAGGGGCTGTGTCCTGGAACCAGGTCCCTCCTCCCAGTTTCTGGTTCTCTATTATACCACCTGCCATTGTCACTCTGCCATGAACTATCCTAAGAGGAAGCACTCTGCATTGTTTGGTTCTGATTCCAGCTGTCCCTTGCCAACAAAGACTAGGCTTGGTCTGGGATCACACAGAGGCACGGGCCAACTCTCCAGGAGGAGGCTGCTAAAATGTGGGTGGCAGTGGGGACACTGTGGCACACAGTGGCATTTAGGCCACTGCCGGCTTGCCACCAGCTGGTGGACAGCCTTCCTGAGATCTCTGCCATCTTTCTCTGCAGTCTCGAAGCAGCGTGCAACAAGGAGACATGGACGGGGCCCGGAGGCTCGGCCGTCTGGCTAGGCTGCTTAGCATCACCTTCATCATCCTCGGGATCGTGATCATCATTGTGGCTGTCACGGTCAACTTTGCAGGTGAGGCCTGGCTGTACGGAGCAAAGGGAGCCCCTAAGGCAGTTGCAGTGAGTGGGGATGGAGAGGAGAATACATTGCATTCCAATGGCTCCAACCCCAGCAGTGCCTCCCTAGGAGTCAGGCTATAAGCTCTAGTCTCAGGTCTGATCTCCCTAGTCCTATCTGGCTGGGCACATGAATCAAGGACCAGGAAGAAGCTCCCCAGTGTGATGAAGGCTGTGAGTCATCTTTGTAAAATGATGCATATGCCTGCTTGCTGAGACAGCCAGGGCAAACCAGAAGCAAACCATGCACAGGCAGGAAGTCAGGAATCAGTGCTCTGTGAGCACCCAAAGGGGCGGCCCAGTGAAGCCAACTCGGCAGAAGAATCCATTCTCTATCCTCCATACTAGAGTCTGAACTTAGTGCTTTGCACTGGCTAGGGAGGTGCTCTACTGCTTGAGCTATGCTTCCAGCGTTTTGTTTTGTTTTGTTTTCAGGGAGAGTTTCACATTTTTGCCTTAGACCCTGACCTACAGATGATCACCTAGATCCATGGATAGAAATCTATGGTCTCAGCCGGGTGCTGGTGGCTCACGCCTGTAATCCTAGCTACTCAGGAGACTGAGATCTGAGGATCACGGTTCAAAGCCAGCCCGGGCAGGAGAGACCGAGAGACTCCTATCTCCAATAAACCACCAGAAAACCGGAAGTGGCGCTGTAGCTCAAGTGGTAGAGCGCTCGCCTTGAGCTGAAGAGCTGAGGGACAGCGCCCAGGCCCAGAGTTCAAGCCCCATGACCGACAAAAAAAAAAATCTATGGTCTCTTAAGTAACTGGGATCATAAGTGCCTCACCAAACCAGTTCATATAATATTCAAATAATTATAATTATTTATATATATTATTTATAATTATTATAATTATATAATCAAATAATTCAAATTCTATTATAATGAAGTACAGTGATGTAAGGCACACTTACAAAGGAAAAAAAAAAACCAGTAACAACCATGGGCACCAGTGGCCCATGTCTATGATCATAGCCACTCAGGAGGGCTGAGATCTGAGGATCAGGTTTCAAAGCCAATCCAGACAGAAGAGTCCCTGTGAGGAGACTCTTATCCCCAATTAACTATTCAAAAACTGGAAGTGGAGCTGTGGCTCAAAGTGATAGAGTGCTAGCAAAAAAGCCCAGGCCGGGGGTTCATGACTGACAAAAATAAAACAAAAAACAAGAAGTTCTTCATGGATCTGCAGCTGGAGCACCATCTGCAGAATCCACAGGTCCTATGTGAGGCTCACTGAATGGAAATCTGCCCTGGGGTCATGGGTAACCTTGGCAGGAGAGAAGGAATTATACAGATTTGCAATCAGCCTAGGTTCAGAATTCCCGTCTCCCTATGCAAATGGAAGCATGTTTCATAACCTCTCAGAGTCTCCGTGTTCTTCCTCATTAATGCAGGCTGATGGGCTTGCACGTGTCTGAGAGGCAGGAGCCACTAGCTCAGGGCCATAGGCTTTTCTTGCCCTTCTCTTTGTCATCTTAGCCAAGACTTTCTTTTTCTTTTCTTTTATTTTCCTTCTCTTTTTTCCTTTCTTTCTTTTTTCATTTTTTGGTTAGTCATGGGGCTTGAACTCAGGTCCTAGGCTCTGTCTTGGAGCTCTTTTTGCTCAAGGCTAGCACTCTACCACTCTAAGCCACAGCACCAAGGGTGGTTAATTGGAGATAAGAATCTCAGAGAGGGCTGGGAAGGTGGCTCAGTGGTAGAGTGCTTGCCTTACATGCATGAAGCCCTGGGTTTGATTCCTTAGCACCACATATGCAGAAAAACCCGGAAGTGGAGCTATGGTTCAAGTGGTAGAGTGCTACTCTTGAGCTAAAGAGCTGAGGGACAGTGCCCAGGCCCACAGTTCAGGCCCCACAACCCA